GCCAAGCCAATATAATAAAAATGACAATTGTACCTAAATTAACTTATTCAATCTCATAGCAATCAAACTACCAAAACATTATTTCATAGAGTGAGAAAAAATAATAACAAACTTCATCTGGAGGAACAAAAAGTCAAGAACTTCAAGGGAATCAATGAAAAAGTGAAGGAAGGCGGCCTAATCATACTAGATCCCAAGCTGTATTATAAAGCAGTAATCACCAAAACAACCTAGTACTGGCTAAGAAATAGAGTGCAGGATCCATGGAATAGTTTAGGCACACAAGACACAATAGTAAATGACCTTAGTAATCTAATGTTTGATAAACTCAAAGATCCAAAATTTTGGGACACAAAATTGCTATTTAACAAAAATTATTGGAACAACTGGAAAGCAGTTTGGCAGAAACAAGGTATAAACCAACATCTCATGCCATATACCTTGGTAAAGTCAAAATAGATATGTGATTTTGACATATCAGGTGATATCACAAGAAAGTTAGTGAACCATGGAATATTTTGCCTGTCAGACTATAAATAAAGGAAAAAATTGTCATGAAACAGGAAACAGCATTACAGGAAGTAAAAAGGGGAGTTTCAATTACCTCAAATTAAAAAGACTTTGCACAAACAAAACCAATGCAGCCAAAATCAGAAGGAAAGCAGGAAACTAGAAAAAAAAAATTACAGCAAGTTACTTAGATAAAACCCTCATTTCTCTAAAATATATAGAAAACTGAGTCAAATTTATAAAAACACAAGTCATTCCCCAACTGATAAATGGTCAAGGGATATAGAAAAAATTTAGAAGAAGTCAAAGCTATGTATAGTCTTATGGAAAAATACTTTAAAGCAATGCTTTCTATCCACTTCCAGAGAAAGAACTGATGCAGTCTGAATGAAGATTGAGTATACTTTTTTTTAAACTTTGTATTTTTTTGGGGGGGGGGATGTGTTTTCTTTCACAACATATGAAATACATTTTGCATGTGTATAACCTCTATCAAATTGCTTGCCTTCTCAGTGGGGCACGGGAGGGAAGGGAAAGAGAAAGGGAGAAAATTTAGAACTTAAAATTTTAAAAATGAATGTTAAAAATTGTTTTTACATGTAATTGCGAAAACATTTTTTTAAAGAGTTGGATTATTTTGCTTTGATTTGCAGTATTAATTCTTAGAAATCTAAAATCATTTACTACATTGGAGGTCATCTTTCCTTCTATGATTATTGTTTTCTCTTTGATTTATCTACTTATGTATGAGGTTTTTCTTCCTGAGATCTTGGGTAATTTTTGTCTCTCTTTTTTTCTTTCCTTAGTTTCCCTTATTACTTCCTTTATGACTCCCTCCCCTCTGATGGTGGTTTCCTTGGGGGCGAGTCTCAGCCTCCTCCCACACTGGACAATTTCGTGGCTTTCCAGCCTAGCTGTCTGCTCTAAGTCACTTTTGGGGGGACAGAACTGGCCTTAGGTGGGTGCTGGGCTCTCTCCCTTAGCCTCGGCAGAGTGTCTCACAGACACAAGATACCACACACATACACACACACACACACACACACACACACCTGATGTTTTGTCCCACTGCATATTTTCCTCAGTTCTCTGGTCTACTACCAGCGGTTCTCAGTTGGCTCACTGGTGTTATGGTTGATTTCAGTAGTTTGGGTCTCTGAGGCTCTGGGTGGGGGAGGGGCAGAGGGTTGAGTTCTTTTTCAAGCCCAGATATGTCTTTCCTCTTTCCCTCTGTCCCGCTGCAATCCCACAGATACTGCCTAGCATAATACTGGCTGGCTGTTTTAGTCCAAGCAAACTTCTACAGTATGAAGCCTGGATCTTCATGGCACTGGAAGGATGAAGAGGAAACCAGGATGTGGGGCTGGGCTTTATGTCAATCAGATCCTTGGACTGGCTAGTGCTGCCAAGTTTTGCTGCCAAGAATATGGAGGTGGTGGTGATGGTGTCGGTGATGGTGCTGAGAGAGCTCAGGGTTGGCATGAATTCATTTTTTTTAACCTTCTTTCTGATTCTGGGAGTCCTAAACCATGGAGTCACTGAAATTGTTTTATCTTTGATGCATAATTTCCATTTTGGGGAGGTTTTCTGGGTTGTGAGGATCAGAGAAAACGCCCATTCTGCATTATTGTTGGTCACCTGACCCAGAAGTACTAGTTCTCTTCGGATGTTGATGAACAGCCCAGGACATGGAACCCAAGAGCCTTGGGGATAGTATCACTACTAAGATCATCTGTCCTTCTTCCAGCACTCACCCTGGAAAGCAATCTCCATGGATATGCGACCTGGTACGTGCTTACTACACTCACTACAACTAGACTTAACTCATGTCCCAGAAAACAAAGTATGTGATCCCAGTGTGACTGGCACTGTCAAATGCTTGTGTCAGATAGGAGTTCATCAGTGAACATAAGAACAATAACAGCATTCATTCGGCATTTTACAATCTGCAAAGCACTTTACAAATTTTATCTTAGTTGATCCTTGCAACAACCCTGAGAAATGGGGGCTGCTAATATTACCATTTTAAAATTGAGGAAACTGAGGAAGACAGAGGTTAAATGACTTGCCAGGGAGGTAAGATATGAACTCGGGACTTTCTGACTCCAAGTCCAGTGTTCTTTCCACTCTGCCATGGATTAGAGATTATATGTTATCATCTGTCTTGTTGCTGTACCCTAAGGACACTGGGAATTTTCCATCTGACTTGCTATCACCCTATCTCTTCCCTTTGACCCAACTATGCCATTGCTAGGTCCATATATCAAAGAGATCAAAGAGAGAGGAAAAGGATCTACGTATATACAAATATTTACAGTACCTTTTTTTGTAGTTGAAAAAACTAGGAAACTAAGGTTTCCTATTAACTATTAACTATTCCTATTAACTATTTCCAATTAACTATTAATTGGTGAATGATTAAACAAATTATGGTATATGAATGTATTGGGATTACCCATAACTCTAGAATTGCTTCAATTTATTTTGCTACCATTTTTTTCTTTTCTTTACCTTTTTAAATTTTACTATGTTATCATTGGTCCCACCCCCTTCATTGAAAACCAAACAAATCAAAACCCTTATAGCAAATACCTACAGCAAATCAAATCTAAACAAATTCCAACACTGGTCTTGTCTTGAAAAAATGTCTATGTCAGTCTGCATCCTAAGTCCATCACTTTCCTCTCGAGTTGTGGGAAGCATCATTCATTACTGGTCACCTGGAATTGTGCTTGGTCATTTCACTGATTAAAGTTTGTGAGTCTTTCAAAGCTATTTTTCGTGACAACATCAATGTCACTGTCTTCAATTGTTTTATTAATTCTTTTCACTTCACTCAACTTCAGTTCATATAAGCATTCCCAAGTTTTTGAAAACAGTCTTTTGTCAAGAGAAAGTTAACAAGCCTGTCAGTGGAGAGGTGAGCTGGAGAGAGGACTCCTTGAGCCAAAGTATTTCCAGGCCCTCTAGTACCAAGAATGGTGAGTAGTCATGATCCAACATGTTCCATATTTGTGTGCCTCACTATTTGCACTCTACATGTGTGCCTACTTTTCTTATGGATGTTATGTATATTTGTAGGCAAGCGAGCCTTAGGTCAGGGTAGGGGGAGGGTTTGAGAAAATGTTTTGTTTTAATATTTTTACTACATCATGTTAGTAAGTGAGGTTAATAAGAGCCATTTGTGTCTATTACCTGATTGTGATATTTAGAGGTGTGGACGTAGCACCCACTTCCTTGAGTCTATGAGTAGCAGTCACCCTCTAGAAATCCTCTCTGTGACTATAAGTGTACAAGGGGTATTGCAAATAACAATGCTGAAGGGAACAGGCCCAAAGAAGGACACAGACCTCACTCCAGCACTGTATGAAGACCCTTGCTAGGTTGTCACAAAAAATGAACAACCGAAAAGCAACACCCTGGGTAGAATCATTGCATTACTGGTGAAACGACCAAGCTGGTATTACCAAGTCATCAATTTTTCTCTATTTTCCACAAGGATATCATAAAAGCACTTACCCTTTCCTTAAAGTCCTAGAAATTTATCGAAGGGACCTCATCAGTCCAAGTCAAGTGTACCTGAAACACAGTTACCTCTACAGTATTCCAGATTACAGTCATTCAAGAATGCTCAGCAAAATGACTATTAGATTTGGAGTCAGAAGGCCTGTGTCTGAATCTCCAGATTGTGTGGCCTTCAGGGAGTCACTGAACCTCTCAGGGTCTCAGTTTCCCCATCTGCAAAATGAGAGGGTTGGACTAAAAGAACTTCAAAGTCCTTTCAGTTATCAGTCTATAACCTTATGAAGACCTCCAGGAACAGGGAATTCGCCACCTCCAAAGAAATTGCATTCCATTACCAGACAGTCCTAACTTTTTAGACATCCTTATATTCAGCCAAAGTCTCTTTCCCTGTAGCTTTCAACTACTAGCCCTAGTTTTCTCCCCATGACATGACAAACTTTCCAAAATTTGAAGGCAATGATCCCACCCTTACTTTCTTTTCTTCTTCAGAACAAAGCTCTGCAGGCCCCAAACTGATCTCCATGAACTCTAGCCATTACTGAAACCTCCAGTGGCATTATCTTTTGTTCGCCTGGCTGGCTCATTCGTGTCAGATACAGCCCACCTCAGATAAGCAAACACTAACCTTTAATGGAGTTTGCTCATCCCTCCCCCATCTTCTACTGCAGTCATTGCTGGAATTTAGTTACGTTACAGCCTTATCTGATCTCCCAGCCTGGCAACTCTGTCAATACAGAATGGAAATGATTCCTAGTAACCTCATATTGTTGACAAGTGATTACTCTTTGCTTTTTGTAAGGATTCATAAATCATTATTTAAATAATCCACTTTTGTATTACAGTCTTGATTAAAATCAATTTCCTTTGTCAATAGTTTTCAGAATATCTTTTTGTTTTCCTTTGAAAATTAAGATAACATTCTCAATACTTTAACATTTAAAGATATGTTAAAAAATAAAACATACCACATTCTTCTAGTCAAATGTCCACGTATCCATCTTTGGACTATCACAACTGGTGAATTGTGGGCAACAATTTTATTTATTTTTGAAATAATGCAATTCATCTGATACACCTCTTTCTCATAGTCTGTATCCTGTATAAAGGGGAAAAAAAGCTCAACATATGTTTCATTCATCAAGTTCTTAAAAAGCATTTCTAAGTTTCATATTCAAATCATGGCAGTAAATGGATTGAGCATGGGTCTCTTACTGAAGAAAAAAATTAAATAACAGCATAGAAAATTTTTATTTAAATTTAAATAGAAGACAGAAAAACCAATGCAACTAAACTGAATTGTCTTCAAAAATATGCTTCAGAAGGATAATTGTATCTGCCCCACTTAGACATGTTTACCCTAACCTGGTGGCCTGGCATAAGGTGACCAGATGTTTGAGTTTGGCCATAATGATCTTAGTTATTCATATCAAGTTCCTGAGTGGCCTAATACCCTACTGAACTGTAGAGAAAGTATGAAATCTGTGAAATTAATCTAGAAATTACTATGCCCATACTAACCTGGCATATGATAGTTCAGAAAGGAATTTATAATTTGTTTCCTGTTCATCTGAATCCTGGGATTCCTTTCACTGGAATATGGCACAGTTTCTTGGCAAAACAAAATCTCTAATCCTCTCAAGAATTGTTATTCATTATTATTAGCCCTCTCCTGGAACTTTTCCCACTCTAGTTACAGATAGTGGGGTATGATGAAATGAGAGCAACTGGTTAATCCTATCTTCTTGACCCCCATTTGACTACTTTGGCTAATGAGAAATTTGGTCAATGACTCTTAAGCAATGATCTCAAGAAAAGACACTGAAAATCTGACATTTTTTATGGGGTAATCAGCAATGTCACATTAAAATGCATTAAGTACCAAATAGGTCTAAAATGCTAAAAATGTTTGTTTTCATACAAAGTAATTTGCTAAAATAAAATGAAATATAGTTCATTATATAGCTAATCCTTTTATTCAACTGCTCAACTGACCAACATTTATTGTTTTCTACATGCTGGAAAAGCAAAGAAAGGCAAAAGCACTCTCCCTGTTCTCAAGGAGTCTCCGTTCCAATCAGCAACAGAGCATGTAAGTAACTGCTTACATCCAAGACACATACAGAGTAGGTCATCCAAAAGTTGAAGTTCCCAGCAGCTGGAAGAACTCGGAAAGTCTTCCTGCAGAAGCTGAGATCTGAGCTGTCTCGACAGTGAAGCTAGAAGTTGGAGGTAAAGAGAGATGGCATTCCAGGCATGGAAGAGAGGCCATGAAAAGCTAGGGAGGCAGGAGACTGAGCGTTGTGTGTGATAAACAACAAACAGGTCAGAGCAGATGGATTCTTCATTGTGTATAGGGGAGCTAAGTGTAAAAATAAAAAAAAAAAACCCAAAAGGGTAGAGTGGCCCCAGGAAGAGAAGAGGCTTAAATTCCAAACTGAGGAGTTTATATATAACACTGAGGGTAATGGGGGCCACTCAAGTTTACTGAGTATCGATGGGGGGAGAGGGAGGAGGAGATGACAAACAGGGTGGAGGGACATGATCAAGTCTATCTATGCTTTATGGAAATCACTTTGGTACCTGTAGATGATGGATCAGAGTGGAGAGAGACACAAAGCAGGTAAATCCACGAGCATGGTAGTGAAATAGTCTAGACTTGGGGTGATGAGGGCCTGGGCTACAGTGCAGGGTGGGTGAGCAGAAAGGAGATGCATATGAGAGATTCTGTGAAGGAAGAAATGCCAATATCTGATGACAAACTTCAGATGAGGACTGAGTGAGAGAAAGATATTGAAAATGCCTCTGAGGTTGCAAGCCTATGTGATGGGGGGTGGGTGGTGCCATTGCCAGTGACAGAGAACTTCAGAAAAAGAGTGGGACAAACAAAACGCATCCTGTTTTAGACATCTGGGTTTTGAGAGGCCTCTGGGGCATCCAATACAAGATGCTCAAAAGGCAGTTGGCGATGCAGGACTCTAGTCCAGGCATAGAGAGAAACTAGGACTCTAGATTCAGATCTGGAATCATTTGCATAGAAATGATATTTGAACTCATAGGAACTGATGAGGTCACCAAGTGGGATAGTAAAGAAAGAAGAGAGGAGAGTCCAGGACACGTCTTTGAGGGAAGCAAAAAATACTGATTGAAACATCAAGAAAATAAGAAAATGTTATTTATCATCATCATCGTCATCATCTTAATAATTCTAACCCTTAGAGAAAAAGTGCAATCCTATGACTAGATTATCTATAAGACAGATAAAACACTAGCAAATTTTATTTTTTAAAAAAGAAAATTAAATTGCCAACACCAAAAATGATTAAAAAATAATTTATAGCCAATGCAGAAGAAATAAAAATAATTATGAGGAGCTATTTTGCAAAACCATATGTAAATAAAACTGATATGAATGAATATTTACAAAAATATAAATTGCCCAGATTAAAAGAAAAGGAAATACAATACTTAAATAAACCTATCTTAGGAAAAAATTGAGCAAATAAAACAAGAAATGCCTAAACCACCCCCCCAAAAAAAGAAGAAGAAGGAAGAGAGGGAAAGAGAAACCAAGAAAGAAAGGAAAAAAGCAAGAAGGAATAAAAGAAAGAATCCAGGACCAAATGAACTTAAAAGGTAATTTTACCAAATACTGAAAAAATAATGAATTCCAATTCTATATAAATTATTTTTAAAAAATAGGTAAAGAAGGAATCCTCCCAAAGTTCTTCTATGACTCAAATATGGTCTTGATACTAAGCCAAGAAGAGTCAAAACAGAAAGAAAACTATGGACCAATATCCCTACAGAATATTGATGGAAAGGATTTAAATAAAATATTGGCAAGGATACTATAGCAATATAGTCTTCCCTTGATTAGCCTTCTAATAAATGTTTTGCTTGTATTTATTTCATACCCGACTCTATTCTCCATCCTAACCCCACCCCTTTCTTCCTTCTCTGTCCTTGACTATTAAGTTTAGTGCATTTCTACACTAATCTCTGTGTGTGTGCACATATTCTACTTTCCTCTATTGAGTTCAGTTAAATAATATTCCTGAGAAGTCATGTCCTTTCGCTCCATCCAACAAACTTACATACTCTTCTTTTACACACCAATTATGTGAAACAACTACACCTCCTTCTTACTCAAGTCTTCCCTAATGTATTCATTTTACCTCCCTTTTTTCTCTCTAAAACTCATCAAAATGCAACAATATCAGCACCAATTATATCTATACAGAAATAGCATATATATATATATATACACAAATACATATATAAACACATATATATAGAAAAAAATGCTACTGCAGAAATATCAAAGATATTTTGATGAAGATCCATGGATCTTTATATATTTGAGGATAATTATAGTCAGTTTTGTGAAAAAAGTCAATGTGCTTTCACCACTAGTATTTAGTTTATGAAGACAAAGTCCTAGTTTCATCTCTTTCAAATGAATAATGATGAGAAAATAAGGCAGAAAAACTTCTTAAGGACGAATGATCGTGCTTCATATTTTCATTCAAAATTTAATATTTGAGCTTCTTGGTCTAAAACATTAAGAGCATTTTTTCACATTTTTTCTTTCCTTATAGAAAGTTGTGATTATTTGAATTCACGAGAACCTCAAAGCATCTCTAGAACTTACTATCCTCAAGGCAAAATTTAATGTTTACTGAATATTTTTAACTAATGGTACACTTCAATATTTAAAATATATATATATATGTATGTATGCATGTTGTACTGTCTTTAAACTGTATTACCACTATGCTCCAGGGTAAAAGGCATTGGGTCAAAATAGCATGGATTCATTTTCATTTAAAGGTGCTGTATTCATCAGTTTATTTCTAGAATACATCAATAATACTGTAGACATCAATTCCTGGACAAAAATATGAAAATAAGTCTGGACACTAAGGATATGAGCTATACACGCATGATAATGTGTACGTGTGTGCAGAGAGAGACAGAGACAGAAGCAGATCCATACATAAATATCTAATAACCCAGTATGCTAAAATGTTGTACTTAGATAGTAAGATATCAATATATACATGTATGTGTGTATATATGTGTGTGTGTGTATGTATATATATATATATATATATATATATATGTATATATATTTTTTTGGTAACAGGATATTTAAGTAGCATAGTGCCCAGAGCGCCAGGCCTAGAGTCAGGAAGACTCGTCTATATGAGTACACATTTGGCCTCAGACACTTACTAGCTGTGTGACCCTGGGCAAGTCACTTTACCCTGTCTGCCTCAGTTTCCTCATCTGTAAAATGATCTGGGGAAGAAAATGGCAAACACACTCCAATATCTTTTCCAAGAAACCCCAAAAGGGGTCATGAAGAGTTAGACATGATTGAAAATGATTGAACAACAATAATCTTTTTTCTCTATACATATGTAAGTACACATTATACCTATCTCCCTATGGTAACATATTTTTAAGATTTCTAACTTCTATTTATGAAATTTCCCATTCACTGTAAAATAACTAACATGAAGACGTTAAAGCCATCAGATAAAAGCTACTCAAAATTGCTCTACAAAAAGCAAAATATTCCTAGCAATGTCCTTAGTAGTCTATCCTCTTTTGTAAAAGAGGTAATAAAATCAACACAAAAGGCAGGAGGGCTGATGACAAGAGCTGGCTCATCTCTGTCCCACCCATCAGCAGGTGCTGGCTTTGGAGTCAAAACTGCTCTAACTAAATCCTGGCCTTGCTCCTGACCAGATGAACAATACTGGACACATCGTTCCTACTTTCTGAGCCTCAGTTTGGTTATCTGTAAAAATAGGTCTCCTAAGAGGATAACGAAGAGCTCTTCCAACATGAATCCTCTCTGATTTTATCATTCTCTTGCTTTATCTCACAAAATACTGACAATCTCAACAGGCGAGAAATGGAACTGAGTATCTATTTTGTAGAAGAACTGTGGTGGAGTTTCTGAAAACACAAACTTCATTTCCATGTTGTGCCCATTGTAATATTTTTGGGGAGATGTTTTTTACAAGGATGTCAATGACCTGGAGCAGGGCCACGTTAGCACCCCCACATTCCCATGAAAATATGACT